TCAATTATTTTATTACTAAGATTTTTTAATTAGTTTACTATATTAAAATTAAAAATAATAGTATAATTAAATAAAAAAAATATTTATTTAAAAAAAAATAAATTATAAAATAACTAATATTTTTTTAATTTAATAATAATTTTTAAAATGATAATACTATTTCTGCTGATAGATTATACTTATATAATTTATAATTTTAAAATTTTTATAATAATTATTATAAAATTTAAATTATAAAACTATTTTTTATTAAAAAAGTTTAAATTACAGAATATCTCTAATTTTAATATTTATTTTAAATTTATTTAAAAAAAGTTTTCTATTATTAAGTTAATATTAATTTAATATTATTATATTAAATTTTTTATTATAATTTAATAATTTATTTTTATAACTGTTGATAATCTTATAGTCGACTAATAATATTTTTAATTATAATAAAAATAATAATTAATTAATAGTAAAAAAAATTTCTAATTTTAAACTATTATTTAAATATAAAGATTACAGTAATATACTCTATTTTATAAATAATTAAAAAAATTTAAATTATAAAAAAAAAGAAGTCAGTTAGATATAGAATAATAGCAGTTTTATTTATTTTAAAACTAATTCTTACTATTTCAAAAATCTAATAAGATTCTAAAAGTCAAATATTAAAGAAGATCTGAATTATTAATATTATAACTGTTATACAGAGAATGTATAGATAGATTATTAACACTCCACCATAGTTATAGGGGTTATCTATGACAATCTATTAGATAAAAAAATAATTACTGCTAGAAGACCAAAATATTAGATGATAGATAATATCCAGACACAACACCATTACCACACTTAAGCACCATATTCTATATTATAGTACAATACTAGTATTAATATGAAATGATTAGTAAAATGACAAAGCACTACCATACCACTTTTGCCATATAATAGGATGAACTTAGGATAGTGCCACGGAGCACCCTTCCACCCCTCGGTGATTGATAATAATGGGAACACCTTCGTCTGAGTTTGTCCCACATAGCACCAACCCCGAGACATACATCTGGGCTTCCCTCAGTGATTGTCATGCTTTCAAATACACGATGCACTACTCATCAATGAGATAGATCCACAGAATCTTAGGGTGTGTGCACTGTTCCTCAGCCTGAGTAAGCGACAGCTTTGTTCGTTCAGGTGCCATGGAGTGAGAGATTATATAAGTATCCGTGCTGAACTGGCTATAGAATTTATGAGATACTGGAGCCGAAATTTTGGACATGCGAAACCGACAAATTTCAGACTGACTTATTCAAGCCATGAATAAATGAAAGGCAGCCACGGCTCAAACAGCGGGTCCAGCCTCAAGCTGACCGAGGGTGCGATTAGAACCCGGTGACCCAGTAACCACGGTATGGCGCTCAGGGCCATTCCCACCGCGGCTCTGCCTAGGAGTCCGTGGGCGAAAAGGACCGGAAGAGAATAGGCCAAGTATGCTGCTGCCTCGACCAGGCCGTAGCGCTATTTCAGCTGTGTTATCTATATCGTGGCCGTCGTCAACGCCAGGTCTTCGCCATTGTCCGAGTCGGGAGAAGGCGGTCCTGAATGTCGGTAGCACTTGCTGTGCGCGCGGTGACACTGTAGGAGGCCCAGCGCTACTGATTTGGCCTCCACCTAAGAATACTGTTTGAGGATAAGCTGGCACGATGAGACGACGGCCGGTGCGTTCTTGATCGATGGCAGATTCACGGGTTTCCGCACGTGGCTTTGGAACATAGTAATCCGCCTTGCAAAGTGGACAACAAGCTCTTCTACCTGTTAGCCAAGGGTCGACACATGACGCATGAAAGGCGTGGCCACAGGTGAGTCCACGTATGTCATCATCGTCCTCAATAGAATCAAGACATATGGCGCAGATGTCACCAGGATTCGCCAGAAGTTCGGCGGGAACAGCCGTACGTATTTGATTTCCGATGTCGTCATCGTCTTCGTCCGTAGGCTGGGAGGACGGTCAGCTAAGAGCAATATTTTCCGAGGTTTGGTACTTTCCTTGACATGGGTTTGAATTCCGACAAATCCAGAGCTCCCCTTTTCCGCTTTATCTGGGGGCACTTCGTTACGTGGGAGTTGTTCTTTGGTCCGAGACACAGCAGATTCAAGTTGTAGATTATCTTTCAGCTGTGGTGTCGGCGCGGCAAGCGCGTCAAAAGATGTGGTAAAGCGGCCATGGCCATCATCTAGGTTATGATCACCGACAACGGAGGCTGCAATACCACCGGCAGTAGAGAGGCCTTCGTCAGCGCGGGAAGAACGCCAAGCTTTGTATTTGACGAGTGGGAAACGCTCGTTAACCTCGTCCATACTCATCAACTTCTTTTCGCGCCGTCGCCGATGTGTCCGAGGCATGGCTAGTAAATCTATGGGTTCCCCTGATTCTTCACCGCGAATTTGTCGGTTCCGCTGGTTATATCGGAAACAATACTTGACTCCAACGATAATCCTATAAAATCGATTAATCCCGCACAAGTGTCTCAGCAAGAGCGACAGGAGCACACCATAGATTTGTAAAAACAACACCGAAACCAAGTGCAACAAAAAATAGCAATGGTGAGCTTGTGGGGCTGGTATTGTTACTAGCCCCATTATGATCAGTGTTGGTTGCACTGGGAGATGAAGTAGTTGTTGTCGAAGACATCTTGTCCAAGGAAATGTAATAAAGTTAAAGGTATGAGAGGTATTGCCTCTCGCAAACAAAGAAGGCAAACCACGAGGAGTGAATTCAGAAGACAGTCCGTATAATCATGGGAGGGGAGAAGATTCCTTGTATAGTGTTAATCGAGTCAAGGCCACGCCTCCAGACTGATATTATTGTCTCAAAGGACAAAACCCACGGTGGCAATACAGCTCATCTAGGCGGAGACCACAGGGGAGGAGGGACGATGGAAGAGAAGAGCCACAGTTCATCACTGATTCAATTCAAGTTAAGAATCTGAAAACCCTGTGCAGGCATGAAGGAGACATGGATCGTGTACGCCGTACATTTACCACTGGGATAAGATCCTAAGGGAGGGTTCCTCCACACCAGGCTTGCAAATGGCTGAGGTTGCAACAACAAGTCACGAGACAAGTAGTACTATGATATTGGAACGGTGCCGCAATGACTAACTTCCAGCGGCCTGTACTGTACCCATTTATGTAGTCAGCAGATTTTAGCCTTCTATTCACCTCGCTACACCCACAGTCGCTAAACAGCCCATTACAATAACACGAGACAGTAGAAGGAAATTGGGGCGATTTCGGAAAAATGCTCAGTTATGCCGGTTAGGTAAATTGTACTACTCATATAAATCGGAAAGTGTAAAGTGGGGAACGATGCAAATATCCCAAAGCTAAGGCCAGAATGTACTTGTTGGTATTCCGTAGTTCTGCATCTTGAATTCCAATGTCTTGTGCGTGTTAGCGACAAAGTGGAGTGAACTCAATACAAACATAATTCCGCCCAGCTTGGTTACTTCCATATAACAAATACGGGGGAAAGAGAATCAAAGTCAAGCATGGAAGAGGACACTAGCTTCCCCCATAAAGATGCCAACCCAGTGGTTTTCTTCGATGTGGCCCTAGGAGGTAAGTCGGACAGGAGTGTTTAATCTTGAATAGCCAAATCACACCTATGAACTTGGGCAGGCTCACCACAGAAGTACCATTTATGTTTTAGGTCAATGTCAGGTCACTAAACAGAGAATCTAGGGGAGCCTCTAGGTCGTATCAAGATGGAGCTTTTTGCGAACGTCACTCCGCGCACGGCAGAAAACTTTCGTCAGTTCTGTACTGGAGAGAATAAAAACGCCCAGGGGCGATCCCAAGGATTCAAGAATTGCAAATTTCATCGCGTGGTTTGTCCAAATTCGAGTTTCACCTCTTCTGTTCCAGAGCTGACTTGATTAAGATCAAAGATTTCATGATCCAGGGGGGCGATTTCATCAATGGCGATGGGACAGGTTCCTGTACCATATACGGAACATCGAGGTTTGCGGACGAGAATTTTGCACTTAAGCATAAACATGCAGGCATGCTAAGCATGGCGGTATGTTTCCAAACCTTTTTCTGGAATAGCGAGTTTGACTACTAACAATATAGAACTCCGGCCCTAACACAAACGGGTGCCAATTCTTCATAACCACTACAGCCACCCCGTTTCTCGATGGTAAGCATGTTGTTTTCGGCCAGGTGGTGGACGGGATGGAGATCGTGCATATGATCGAAAATACACGCACAACCAGAGACAAGCCCAACCAGGATGTTGTCATTATGCAATGCGGCGAGATGTGATGAATTGTAGTTCATGCTGGAAAGCCATTACAAAGTTTAAGAAACATCCGTACGGACCATTTTACAAAATTTAAGTATTCATGAATAACACTGGGAGTAACATTCAAGAACTATGCCTGTCAAAGACATGCACCCCTCGTGGGAGGAAAGGAATGTGAACAAAAGCACAAGTAAATCTGGGAACTTTTCATAGCCAAACATGAAATTGTAAACAATCTAGAGTTTGAACTTAGAGAGATAGTCGCATGCCAGATTGATGGCATCATCAACCTTATCAGGGTTCACGCCGTTGCCAACAGAAGTGGGACCCTTGCCTCCAGCCTTGCCTCCGACTGCACTAGACACAACGGTGGCCCACTCCGTGGCAGAAGCGCCTTGGTCACTTGTTGCCTAGTGATAATAAACATTCAAGTTAGCCACACAAGAAGGAACATGTCAAGAAAGGGAAGCGAACGGCAGAAGTTGGGTTCAGGGAGGAGCGTCTACCTTAGAGACATGACAACCATGTGCTACACGGCCTTGCTCTGGGCTTGCAGCCAAGACATAGACAGTCTTGTCGGACAATTTTGCCTTGACATAGTTGATCGCTTCGCTGACAGCTTTAGCGTTGGCGGAAATAGGAAGCTGAGCCACAAGCCAAGACTTGTCGCTGTTTGCTGGGTCCTGGAAATAGCTAGTAACACTTTCAACAGCGGTTTTGGACTCAAGCTTCTGCTGCGCCTTTTGGTCATCGAGAATCTGTTTATTGATGCGAGCGAAGCGTTCTCGGAAGCCGGACTTCTGGAGAGCTGAGATTGACAACTGATTCAGCTCCGCCTGGATCTGCTTTGCATCTTTTTCTTTATCCGAGCCAAGGGGCATGGCCTCAAGGCGATCGAGACGCTTCCTAAAGTCATCTGCAAGGCGCTGTACGGTGTGCGCATCTTCCCCAGTGACAGCAATGATGCGGCGAATTCCTTTAGCGATACCTCCTTCTTCGAGAATGATGAGATCCTTGATATCACCGGTTTTCTGCACGTGGGTTCCACCGCAGAATTCAATACTCACTTCATCCCATCTAGGATCTTTGACATTTTCTAAGATCTCACCAATCTCCACTCCAACGGAGACAACACGGACAGGATCGGGATACGTTTCCCCAAATACGGCCCGGACTCCTGAGATTTGGCGAGCAGTGGCGAGAGGAACTTCCTGCGAGTAGACCGCACAATTTTGACGAATATACTCAGTTGATATCTCCTCGATTCTCGCCAGATCTTTGTCCGATATAGGAGATTTGTAAGAAAAGTCGAACCTAAGCTTTTCGGCGGCAACAAGGGAGCCCTTTTGCTCGATACCATCACCCAAGACTGACTTTAGCGCGAAATTGAGGATATGTGTGCCTGTATGATTATTGCGAATCGGCCACCGACGGAGTTCGTCGTACTCGCAAATAACCGTGTCTCCAACAGCTAGTGACCCATATTTCATGAAACCTGTGTGAAGGACATAGCCAGCGTAAAGCTGAACATCACCAACCTCAATCTCGGCTTTGCCATCAATGATAATTCTGCCGGTATCATTCTCCTGCCCACCCTGCTCCGCGTAAAAGTTGGTGCGGTCGAGAATAATTCCAAGTTGTTCACCGTCGGATATGTCTGCGGTGGACGAGTGGAATGCTTTACCTTGATAGATGGCCTTCACTTGGGCGTTGATGTTGCCCTTGCCAAACTTGGCCGTATCGTCGGTCTTGGTAACATCACTCATCAGTTCCAGCTTGCCCAAGTCATGAACGTCCAACTTGACTGTATCGGCTGCCGCTTTTTTCTGACCCTTGCTCGCTTCCTTCGCTTTGAGGCGCGCCTCCTCAAATTCGCTATCATCGATCTGCAATCCACGTTCCTCTGCCATGATACGGGTTAAGTCGACTGGGAAACCGAAGGTATCATACAGTCTCCAGACGTCGGCACCATGAAGTTTCTCATCCCCTTTGACCTTGGCTTGCTGAGCATAATGTTCAAACTGGCGCTCACCACGATCGAGTGTCTTTGCGAAGGACATCTCCTCCTCGTCAAGGATTTCCATAACGTCAAACTGCTTTTTCTTCAGCTCTGGGAACATGTCGCCGAGTTGTCCCACAACAGTAGGGACAAGCTTCGAGAAAAAGCTTCCAATCTCCACCTGGAAGTACTTGCGAGCGTAGCGTGCCCCTCTACGCAACACTCGGCGAATAACATACCCACGGCCCTCGTTGTTGGGCATCACGCCATCTGAGATAGCAAACATCAGGGTACGGACGTGATCTGCGATGACACGGTACGCAGTATCTATGCCATCGGCGTCGTCGGCGCCAAATTTCCCGCTATATTCGCGGGCTCCGGTGACATCCTTGATAACCTGGAATAGAGGGGAAAAAACGTCCGTGTCATAATTAGACAGCTTATCTTGCAGTACCGATACGAGTCTCTCAAATCCCATCCCAGTGTCGACATGCTTGTTGGGAAGTGGCCGTAGAGACCGGTCTGACTCGCGATTATACTGTATGAAGACGTTGTTCCATATCTCAAGAACGTTGGGGTCGTCTTGATTGACAAGGTGGGCAGCATTACGCCCCCCAATCCGGTCATAATGGATCTCACTGCAGGGTCCACAAGGGCCTTGATCACCCATTTCCCAGAAGTTGTCCTTCATGTTTCCAGGAAGAATGTGATCTTCTGGGACGCCCACGGATTTCCAAAGCTCCTTCGCCTCGAAATCGGGCTCCAGACCTCCTTCCTTATTGCCTTCAAAGTATGTAACGTAGAGACGCTGAGGATCCAGTCCATATACTTTGGTCAACAACTCCCAGGAATAGCAGATTGCCTCTTTCTTGAAGTAATCGCCGAAACTCCAGTTACCGAGCATTTCAAAGAAGGTCTAAATATCAGTTGGTAATTAGCATCGAAGTATTTCATCGTTCTAATTCGGGGCCCTTACATGGTGATAACTGTCCTTGCCAACATCATCAAGGTCCTAGATTTAGTGCAGTTAGCAAGTCTATTTCGATAACAGAGTGGAGTTGTATCAGATTGCAATCACATTGTGTTTTCCTCCGGCGCGAATGCACTATATAGTAGAATCATTAGCACGGCAAGGCAGCAGGGTCAGGAAAGCATTCGCCACCTTCTGAGAGTTGACTGCACTTCTAAGGTTGGCAAAGTCGGATTGAGGATCAACTGTGCCCAAGAAGATAGACTTGAACTGGTTCATTCCAGCATTGGTAAATAGCAGTGTTGGGTCGGCGTGAGGTACAACAGGCGACGAGGGAACTATGTGTGCCCGGGAGGTATGAGCTAAGTCGAAATGTTTTCACCAGATGAAGTCATATTGCTCACCAAATGTATGGCCATTTCCCTTGAAATATTGAAGAAATGTATCTCGAACTTTTTTGGACGTCCATTCCACCGTTGGCGGGTCGCTTGAAGCCATGCTGAATGATCTTATGTTGAGCTTTCCTGGTGGTTTGTTCCAAGGCGGGGGAGTGTGAAGGTGGTAGAATATTCTGGGTCTTGACCTAAAGCACGATAAAAGATGAGTCAAAGCCAGTTCCCCGTCCCATGAGAACCTGCGGATATTCATCAAGAAATTCGCTCGGTTAATACATCCTTCATCATCCAGCAACAAATAATGGGCTCGTTTGTCTCTTGACTTTCCGTGTCTAACGTCTAATATAAAGCAAGTCAAGTACCCTGTAGCTGATGGCGTTGCAACCTGGTTGTGTGGGCAATTATCGCGGGAAAAAGCGCCCCGCAGAAACTGATCCTGACAATGACCAGCCTTTGACAAAAAAGTTCAGTCATC